GACTGCTACGAGTAAAAACAACACATCTCAAAATGAGTGGCCCTTGGTCTGAAGTGGCTGTGGTCAGGACGAGGCATGTTTAGGAAGTAGTCCCTTGAATACCTTGTGATAAACGCATGCAAAGAAAATAACACGAAAGAACACTGTAGTCAACCAAATAAAAGGTTAAAGAAAATAAACAATATTTTTGCAGCTTAGCATTTATTTGTGAACTGCTGGTGCAACTCTATGCTTGACAGAAAAGCTATGAGGCTTTTGGTAGCTTGACAAGACAATCTACAAGCTTGAATGAAATGTTCAGCTTAAGGAATTAGAATAAATCTGATGACTGATGTGCTACTGAACGTGACAGACTGTCATCTGTTTTAAACAGGATCTCTGTAGGATGCACTGAAAGCAATTTTTTTCCATTACCTTAAACATACTAAGACTTTTTCCAATGAATTCTGGCAAATCTATTAAGACAAAAGATCTTCTCAAACTCTTGCCATCTCAATAAAATAACGAAATAGCCATTCGGCTTACTTGCATAATTAATTCATGCTGACACTGTACTTCTGTGATTAATTTACATCCAGTCCACAAAAGCATACAACAAAACCGATTACTCTTACTTCCCAAATTAACCATAGAATTATAAGACACAAGCAATAAGTGATTAAAGCAGCTCATCTAAGCCCTATTCGTATATAGAAACATCAAAACATTTAGCTGTTATCAAAGCAATTAAATACATTCTTAACTGAATCAGGAAAACACTCTAGTAGTATCTTTTTCATATTATCAGCAGACTTTATACAAAAATAGGTACAGGTATTCTTCAATAGTTTTTTAAAAGTCAAGAAAAAGTGATCAACATAAGTCCTATAGTGAAACGGTACAGTAACAGAGAGCTAGGGAGAGATTAAAAAACACAAACTCTAGTTTTAATCTGGTCAAATCCTAGAAAACAGTTAAAAATCCTAACACATTGTTTTAAATATATACATAGACACACTCACATAAACAATGTGAAATAAGATAAAAGTCTTTGGAAGGCACTTTATGCTATTTTAAAAATCATACAAGCATCAAATCTTTGGCAAAATCTAGGCTCAAATGGGAATATCCTTCCTCTATCAGACTATAAATAGTTCCTGGAGGAATTACTCAGGTGCTTTACCACCTCCTTATCCTAGAGATAATGACTCAAATCCATCCTACAAACAAAAAAAATAAGGAAAAAGGGATTTTGTGATATCCACCTGGAATCTCTGCCTTAAATATAGGGAATGGGCAAAACTGCTCATCGGTGGATAAAGAGCAGTAACATCAGTTTGAACCACACTACATTTACAAAGCTGAACAGTGAAGCCAGTGCAACTCCCCAGCTTGTACAATCCACTTCCAAAGGGCAGTAAGAACCAAACCACCAAAGTCATTCAACTTTCAGAAAAGGTTAAGTGTCACAGATGCACACCATTTAAGATATTTTAGCCATCGGGTGAATTTTCCCTCTAAGTTGGTTGATTTATGTTCAACTAAAATTTCATAACACACATTTCTAGGAACAGAACAGTCCATATTGTTTAGCTTATAAAATGTCAGTATTAGACCAATTTACCTTGCCAGTTTCCCTTACTGCTATCACAAGAGTACCACAATTAGCAGTAATTAGCCCAGCAGGAAACCTCTTTCTAGGCATGGGCTAGATTGCAAGTATATACTACATGTATTTTACTGCCAAAACAGAGAATTAGCATTTTGAAAGATGCTTTGCGTTACAGCTAGTGAGCTTATGTGTCTGAATGAATGTTAAACACTGAATATTAAAGCTTTGCCCAGTCCTGCTGCTAAGATGCAAATTTAAGCCATAAATAGTTCAAGTACCTCAGTCAAAACAGTTTTGCTTGTAAGACTGCAGTGTTCTGTCTCCCCCCATTTGCACTCAAAACCCACTCAGACCTCAGAAGACCAACAGACCTTTTTCAATCGGTTGCTGTGCTACAGCTGATCAATACAGAAAAATCACAAGCCTGTGCACAATCTGATGATTTGTTCTGTGTTTTGCAGGAGTTCTTTAAATGGCTCAGTTCCCATAATCTCCTTCCCCACTCAATGTAACCTGTTAACAGAAAACACTATAGCAGTGATGAAATCTCATGCTACAGGCAACTATCAATAGGTCTTTGAGGTACCCTATACTGTCAGGAGAAAAATCTATTACTTCTGCTTATATCAGGATTATAAATTAATCTGCTTCAGTTACCACCCGAGATCTTTTGGATCAAGACAAATGGAACCAGAGGCTAGAAGCTCTGATTCTTCACAAAGACTTTCACAATTGCTAGCTCTACATTTCTATCATCTTCCCTGGGTCAAAACACCTGCCCTCGCTACAACCTCTGCTATTCAACATGTGTTGTACTTCCCTGCTAAATGCTTCAGGCACTACATAAAATCTCTCAAAAGAATCAGGTGCTGATACATAAAGAATGCTGAACACACACAGAGGTGGTCTCCACTTTCTTGAGGGCAACTGCCAAATGCAACTGATGCATCAAGCACAGGAAAACATTTGTTATCAGTCATCTTTTCATGATGTTCTCCATGCACTGGCAAGTGCAAGATTTGGTGTTTCTGTGTTTTGTATTTTAATAACATTTTAAGGTCAAGTTTAACGAAGGCTTGCCTCCCCCCCCGCATCTTTTAATGACCAGTAAACCCACCCTGTTGATTCTAACACTCATTTAATGTTTCATACAAGATTATCAAGCTCCTCAGCTCCTCTTCTGCTTCTAAGGGTAAACATTGGAATGTCATTTTCTGGACATCTTGTCTTCTCAGCTCTATCCTGTATTTCATTGAAAGCTTTAGTGTGAATTTTTTTCAGGAAAAGTCCCCTCCTCTCCAAAAGAAATGTTCCTTTAACAAGAACATAAGCTAAAACTTTGTAACCATTCCCTTGAGGGTGGAAAAAATGCTTATTTTTATAAACACTCAAGTCAAATATTTATATTCTTCTACAGTTTCCTTTTTGCACTGCCTCTGGTAGTAACTAAATAAAAACTCAAAGAACACAAAAACATGACCACTCTAACAATGGCTCAAAATAAAAGGGCATGATCATTCTCAAACAAACCAAAGATGGCTTAAGATACATTGTTAAAACCAAATCTACATGCTGAAACTATGTGAAAAATCACTGTAGTGACCAATTGCTGCATAGAAGTCAAATTTCTTTCAAATTATTTTTAAAAAAAAAGTTAAAAAATTGACACTTACTGAAGTAGATTATATTTACATAAATTTACAGGTTCCTCCCACAAAAATTTAAGATGTATATCCAGCTAAGCTTCTAACATCAATACATGCTTCTATGAACTTACAAAATGCTTTTCATAATACATTCTAGAATAAAATAGAGCATTTTTGCCATTGAAAAAACTGTTACTACTTGTACCAGGTCTGGTTTGGATGGAGTTAACTTTTTTCATAATACGCCACATGGCACTGTGTTTTGGATTTCTGGCTAAAACAGTGCTGATAATACACCAGCGGTTTGACTGTTGCTTAACAGTGCTTGCACAGCATCAAGGCTTTCACTTCCCAACAACTCTCTCACTCGAGAGTAGCCTTGGGGTGGGCAAGAAGTTGGGAGGGGACGGAGCTGATCCAAACTGGCCAAAAGGATATTCCATACCATATAACATCATGCTTAGCGATAGAAACTGAGGTAAAGCAAGAAGGGGGTGTGCAGTTTTGTCTTCCAAAGCAGCTGTTGCTCAGAGACTGGTCAGGTATTGGTACGCTTGTGGGTGGGAGGTGGTGTCAGACTATTTGCATCATTTGGTCTTTGTGGGTTTTTTTTCTTTTTTCTTTCTTTCTTCTTTTTCCTTTGCTTATTAATGTGTCTTTGTCTTGAATTGTGAGTTTTCTCACTTCTGATCTCCCTATTCTCTCCCTGATCCTGCTGGGGGGGGGTGGTGAGTGAGCAGCTGGGCAGGCGCTTAGCTGTTGGCCCGGGTCAACCCACCACATGGCTGTTTTTCATTTCTCCCCCCAAAGCACAACGATGTTCATAGTTGGTGTGTGTGTTTGGTTTTTAAATGCATTGAAACAGTAGCAAGTTGGAATACTTGTTATATACCCTCTCCAAAGGGCAACAAATACTTGGGTTTGAATGACTGGACTACAGTTTGCTATGTGCCACGTTAAAGAAAATCCATAATTTCATTTTTGCAAACCATAAGCAAAAGTGACTACTAACCATTAAAACAAATAAAGCAAGCCAAATGATACCATTCCAGTAGAATTCTAACTTATTATTTTTGATAAAAGTGAGATTGGGAAAGCATTTAACCCCATTCCCTAACATCTGAATGCCTGTTTCACATGCATCATGAACAGCATGCGTTCAAATCTAAAGATTATTTCAGATTGCAACTTAGCCCAGTATTCATACCGTCAATCAGACAAACCTGCAGGCTTTGAGAATGACTTCATTTTTCCTTTTGGGATATAAGGTACTGTACAGGAGAATTACCGCACAGAAATATTAGTCAGAGCAAGAACACTGGGGACCCACACCCTTCCCATTGTTTTGAAATGTAAACATCAAGTCATCTAGAATTTCAAATAAGAAATGTAGGGTATATATTATACAAATTGTGTACCTGTTACAATCACAAAATAATCCTAATCTGGCAGATTTTTCAAGTATATATTTATTGGCATAAACACAACAAAAAGCCCCACAACAAGAATAAAAACTTACTACCTCTTATTATCTCTAAAACATTATCCTCCTTTCTCCATTTAAAATTAAGAACTGTATCTCACATTTTCAAATAAAATTAGCACCTTGCTAATGAGGAACTCTTCACACACTACAGTAACATGTCTACATACAAAATTGCACCAGGTAAACTTATTTCTAAAGCAAGTTGTTTGCAGTTGGCACATTCTTCATAGTTTTACAAGCGGCCCACACAGATGTCAACAAATCCAGTGCACCGTACCAGTTAGTCGAACGGCGTGACGCAGCACTGGGCTGAGGGTGTGGACACACGCTGTGCAAAACAGGGAATGTGCAAGATTAGCTACTGCCGATTTTGAATTTACGAACTGCACTATTCATCAAATTTCAATACTCAAAAATATAGTTTCAAAAGGATCAGCAGTTAGCACTAGTGAGAAACACAAATAGAAAACCAAATCCCAAAACTTGAATTTTAGAAGCAAATTCTTCTGCTTTGTAAGTTTCTTAAGAGCTTCCCATAGGCCCTGTTTCCATGCTTTTAACCAAGATTTGCCTAACAACAAGCAGTTGACTCAGAAATTAACTGAAAAGGGAAAACGCATGGTGTACCAGACGAGCTCTCACACTTGCAGTGCTCTAGAACAGATCAGGCTATTTCACCCAATCGTCTGCTCCCCGTGAACACCACAAAGCTGTCCCTAAGCGTCTCGGCACATGGTCACTGCCTCGACTCACACAGCTAATACTAGACACTTCATTTTAAACCCATGTTCATTTCTCACATACGAATAAAACATATCACAGTTCCACGCTGCAGAGGCCTCTCTGGCCTGGCTCTGCGGACGGAGCGGCCGCGGGTTCCCTCAGCAGCCTCTTTGCGCTGGCTGTTGGCGCAGGGCTCCATCTACCGGCCTGCGGTCCTGCACACCCGCGGCAAGAGCCGGTGGGGAAAAAAAATTAAAATCTCAACAGCTATTTCACATCTCTGTTTGCTAATGAGATCAGGATATTCAGAAAGCACTACTGGTTCAGAAGAAAACAGTCAACCAAACGCATGCACTCACATATGCTAGGTGGAAACAGTTGTATGTATACGGAATCTTTTATTACCCTTCGATATTTATAAAACATATCTCAAAAAACTGTTCTAAAGAATCACCATTTTTCTACAAGAAGCAACATATGACCATACACTCCCAAGCCAGATGTAAACCTTTATTGTCCCTTCTCAAAGCAGGCAAACAGACAAACACAGATAACTCCGAAAAATTACTGAAAATTAATTGCATAATATCTGCACAATTTAAGGTATTAGAAGTGGTCTTCTTTTTCCTTAAAAAACCAAAAAGGCGATGCCTCAAACGTACAGAAGCAAAAATGTTTCAGTAGGAGACTGCCATCCGTTTTCACCAAGGGCATTTCTGCACTGTAGCAACCGCAGCTCACACAGCTATAGTACGTCCAACTTGAAAGACTGATTTGGCTACTGCTGTCATACGCAGCATTCCTCAAATTGAGCAATTTAACTCTTGCCTTACTAACCTCACTCTGCCTTCAATTTATATTTGGTAGTGAAAAAGAGCAGTATCTTTTCCTCCCCAGGACCCCCTGTGCCCATCAGCCAAGCCGGTCAAGCTCAGGCCGCAGAAGAGAAGCCAGGACAGAAAGCAGCAGCAGCAGCACTACGCCTCCTGTGCAGCAGCTCCGGCAGCTACCTGAGCTGGTTCTGAACAAGCCTCCTGCCGTGACTGTGCAGCAACAGCTGAGAAATTAGACAGTGCCTGTCCGAGCAGTGATCACATCCAGGTGACAAATGGCTGACCAGTCACCCCAATTCTGTTCTCCAAGGCACGTCTAGCAAGATTAGCAGCTAACTTAAGACCTGGTGTAAGGAGGGAGACAGTGCAGGAAAAGGACAGTGAGCTCCACAACTCCTCCCCACCTCTTTTCCTTGAACAGCCTGCCCCACACTCATCACCATGTTGAAGGCAGCTGAGTGGGGCTCAGTACTGTTGGAGGCACAAGAGCAATGGGGTCAGGGTACGGGAATCACAGAAATACCCAAATTGCTCACGTTGTACCTACACACAAGAAAAGATGAGAATAATTTAGCCAGGAATTTAGCTGGAAACAACCAACAGATGATCACAGCAAGAAGGCAGGAATGGAACAAGGAGTAATAAAATCCAGGCACTATGGGATATCCTACAAGGCGGGGAGAACTGGTGAACAAGGACACCAGGGAATTCACACAGTTCCTCCTGGGGCTCAGTTTTCCCAGTTTGGCTTGTCCCCTAAAATGACGGTTGAAGGGACTAACGGATAAAATTTCCTACAATGAACTTGATAACACCACAGAATGAGAACAGAATGCTGCCTTTTTTCTTTTTTATTTTAACTTGAAGAAAAAGCAAAATTTAAACCTTGAAGGTAGCTTTTCACTTGCTAAAATCAAATTTTAATCAAAATATATTTTAAAACACAACTGAGCAGAACTATGGGGTTGCTGATGTCTCTTTAAGGAACAATGACATCAATGCAGGCTACATTTGAGAAGGATATAGGTGTGGAACTACATCCTTTTTCATCATACATAGTCAGGTGCAAAGAGAAAAGTTTAACTTCAAGATTCCTGTGGTCTAATGAAAATAAATACCATTACAAACAGACCCAAGAATACAGACTTAGTAAATGCTGTTTGTTTTTCTTCAGATATAGATCATGGGAACTGAGATATTTAACTACTTCAAGACTAATTTTTATTCTATCTTAAACTGTTTACAATGTCAGCAAGCTCATGGTATCCTGACAACTAGCAGAGGAGGGGGGGGAAAAAAAAAAAAAAAAAAAGAGAAAAGTGGAAAAAAGTCAACTAGCATCTGTGAAAACCAATGTAAATTGGTATCTGAGTATTTGATTGTCCTACTTTGATTAAACTCAGCAACTGAATGTCTATGATACTATCTGTATCACTCATCTAGCAATATTCATAATAAAGAAATTCAAAAATCAGAACACATTTTTCTAGCTCTACAAAAAAAGCTACAAAACATTCAACAAATCTTAAAATTGTGGTGAATGTTTCACAATGCCATTTTCCTCATTACAAGGAAGGTACCAAGGAGCAAATCAGTCATACAGTGCTTATGTCAAACTTCAGAAAAGGAAAACCACATCCTAATACTCTGCTATAACGGAAAATGGCAAAACCGCCTGTATCTGTGCACACATACAAGCACGCTATAGACAAATATGATGAAAAATACTACTTTGTTTCTCATACTTGTATGTAAAAAATTTACATCACCAAATGAACACATTCTCACCTACTGAGCACCTAATGTTAAAAAAAATCCTACAGAACCTGAAATTCTATTTACTTGTATGTGAACAACACAGTGAGAAACAGAATCTTAAAATAAGTCCAATTGTACATCAAGCTGTACTTGAGAAAACTACCTTGAGAAAAAAGTAATACTAATAACTTTATTATATCAATACAAATATTTTTATTATAGGGTGGGTATAATTCAGGTAACTACAAGCAGCATAAAATACAATATCCAGACAGGACATTGCATTAGATATGTATCTTCACATTTTGTCATCTAATCTCTCTCAAATAGGTCTAGCTGTTTTAAAAGAAATATATAACTATGTATCATATCATTATTGAGAGAAATGAATGCTTAAAAAAAGAGCACACTTATTTTTGTATAACTTCTTTCAAGGCACTGAAGTGGCCACTGGAATGTCTTAGAATAATTTTCTAATTATGCTCAGTTAGTATTCTCAGTTCTCTTAATTAACTGCACTCAGCTACAAGCTGAGATACCCATTTCTCTTGGTAACTAAACTTATGTTTTTGGCAGTCAATTACGTTTCTAAAATGAAGTTAAATCTATAATACATAGAAAAAAACCAACATAGTACAAACTGATATTTTATTTCCTATCAGACGTAATATGTAAGCACTAAGAATGGTTCCACTTCCTCACCTGTTGATACATTAGAATTAACAAAGAGAGGGGGTCAAATATATACAGTTGGAAATAGTGTAATGAAAGAAAGCTAAAGCAGAGCTGACTGCTCCTAAAGGAAACAAGCCAAGGACATCTGAAAAAAAGGATCAATGTTCACAATACAAAGACTTTAATACATATTTAACTTTGTGTATTAAAAACTGAAACAATGCATAATAATAGTTTTAATTGTGTAAACGCTCTGCAAAAAAAGAAATACTTTAATACTTTTCATTTCCATACATATCAACTGCCGTGCCTTGGAAAGCCCTCTTCTCTTTCCCCAAGCCAGTCTGAGCTTACTACCATTACTTTGTTAAACTGGCAACTAATAACAATTTCTAGTTCTGGTCCCACCAAGTGTAATTCATACACACACACAACCATGAAGCAATTCTTCAGCACTAAATACTCTCCTCTTACAAGTGGACATTTCTATTTATAAGCTAAAGTACAAGTCAACATAAATTACTACATTTGTACATTTTAAAAACATCATTAAAAATTCAGTCTGTCTGCTTCAAGTACAGCAATCTTTGATCCCACAGTAAATTCTCTCACAGCAGAGCACCATACAGCATTTTCTGAACAGTTTCAATTCAGACACAACCCTGCTCTTACTCCACAAATCCTGACGGGAACTGCCACCCCCTCCCTCCAAAGAGCTAATCAATAATGAAGCATTTTAATCCTTCTTTGTCCTAATACTACACTACTGAAGCAGATTAGATTTTTCTAATTTATTTCACACATAACATTTAAATTAGTGCATAGCTAGCTGGATTATTACTATTTAAATGAACGTATAACTTAAAGATCAAATTCTGACTTCATCAGATTTACATAAAAGGACAGAAAGGATAACATTTGTCTACCAGCATGTTATGTGGATCTCCTTAACTCAATTTACTATGGATTTCATGGTGCAAAAATTAATGTCCTCCAGGAGCTGAACTCATTACCAACTACGTCTTCCAAACCCACAGTGAAATCTCACACTGCTGTGACCGATGGAAGTTTTGCTGTTCACATAAAGGGAAGTTGGATCTGTTCCTTGGTTTGCTACTCTAGCAAGTGATACTGAGCAAAACAATACCATAGATGCTGTCTTGACTTCTTTATAATAAGAAAAAGATACTATGAACCAGTCTCATGTATTTTATTCCCTGATAAAACTGAAAGCAACATATTGATGATAATTTTAACTACACATAAAGTCACCAGCAGAATTGCATGCCCTTTTCAACATCAATTTCCACAATATATTTCAGCAACAATAATGGCAAACAGCCTGTAGAGTCGCTCACAGATCCTGCTCAGCCCTTCATCCCCATCCATACTCCAGAAAACACAGAGGCACCCCTGCAAGTCATCTGGCACAGGTGTATCACACTGAACTCACAGCACACGTACAAATAGCCTCCCACTAGGCATCTGACCCAACAAACTTTTTACATGCCTGTAACAGAAAAGCACTGGTAAACAAACAAAAAAAAAAAAACAAAACAAAAAAAACCACCACACCGTACACGTATTCTGGTAGCCAACATAAAGTTGACCAGAGGTTACAGGTGCCACAACTCTATCTTTCAAAATAAAAAAATGTTTTCAAAATAATTAATTGAACCACTGAGTTTTAATTCCTCTGAAAAGCAAGAAATAAATCTGACAATGTCTTTGACAAGGCTCAACTAAGCGTAATGGTGCACAGTAAACACAACAAGCTGTTTTCACTTGTAGTTGATGATGTTCAGTAACATACAGAGGAGGAAACCCATAAACAACACAAACTGCATTATGAGAGCTATCCACTAGCATTCAATTTAAGTGATCATGTCTCCGTTACTTGTACTTGGGACAGATAAGCAGTGTCTGTTTCACA